CCTGGGATCGCGGCTGGCACGACCCCAGGCACTGCCGGGGGCCGCGCTACGAGGACATGCCGCTCTACAAGGAGCGCGGCTGCTACGTCTGCCACCAGCGCGTCCGCATGCTGGAAGGTACCGGCCCGCAGCCCCCAGCCTGCTGGCGGGGAGCTCAGGTGGCCGAGGAGGCCAGTGGCCTCCCGGGGTGCCTCCCGGGGTCGGTTCTGGGCGCCACAGGATAAGAAAGATGTTGAGGTGCTGGAGCGGGTCCAGAGAAGGGCAGCAGAGGTGCTGAGTGGCCTGGGGAACATGGCTTGTGAGGAGCAGCTGAGGGGACTGGGGGTGTTTAGCCTGGAGAAGAGGAAGCTGAGGGGAGACCTTGTGCTCCACAACTCCCTTGGAAGGAGGTTGGAGTGAGGTGGGTGTTGGTCTCTTCTCCAAGGTAACTAGTGATAGGATAAGGGGAAATTGGATGAAGTTGCACCAGGGGAGGTTTCAGTGGGATATTAGGAAGGATTTCTCTCCTGGCAACGCAGTGAGGCATTGGACCAGGCTGCCCAGGGAGGTGGTGGAGTGGCCATCCCTGGAGGAGTCCAGAAAACATGTGGATGTGATACTTCAGGACATGGTTTAGTGGTCATGGTAGTGTTGGGTTGGTGGTTGAGCTTGATGATCTTGAATGTCTTTTCCAACTTTAATGATTGTATGAGGAGAATGTGGCCAGCTGGTCAAGGGAGGTTCTCCTCCCCCTGGACTGCCCTCCTGACACCACCTCTGGAGTAGTGCATCCAGTTCTGGGCTCCCCTGTTCAAGAGAGACAGGGAACTACTGGAGAATCCACGAGGTGATTAGGGGACCAGAGCATCTGTCTTAGAGAGGTTGAGAGCCCAGGGGCAGTTTAGCCTGGAGAAGAGAAGGCTGAGAGGGGATCTTCTCAATCGTTATCGATATCTAAGGGGTGGGTGTCAGGAGGATGGGGCTGGACTTTTCAGTCGTGCCCAACGACAGGACAAGGGGCAGTGGGCACAAACAGGATCACAGGCAGTTCCATCTGAACGTGAGGGTGCCAGAGCCCTGGAGCAGACAGCCCAGAGAGTTTGTAGAGGAGTCTTCTCTGGAGAGATTACAAACCCACATAGACACAATCTTGGGCAGCCTGCTCTAGGTGACCCTGTTTAAGCAGCAGGGTTGGACTAGATCATCTCTAGAGGTCCCTCCCAGCCCCCACCATTCTGTGACTCTGTGTTCAAGCACTCGAGCTGCACCACCAGCCCAGGTTCCCTCCCTGCCTCCAGAACTCAGGGCGCTGCCAGCCGGTTGCCAGCCCGCCGGGCAGCCTCACTAATGCACCTTCTCCTGGGTTTTCTGCCAAGGAGTTCGACAGGCGCAGTGGCTCACCAAGACAAAGCTGGTGGAGGGCTTACCTCCACAGGTGCTGAGCATCATGGACAACCCTGCTCACCAGCTTGAGAACCAGGAGGAGAGGGTCATGCACGCCATCTCCCATGCCCGGCTCTGGAACACGACAGAAGTTGCACCCAGGAGACAGTATTACTGGTAAGTCCTCAATCACAGGGAAAATCTCTGTGGTTGTGGCTTTAGCTTAAGCCTGTGGTTGGTCAGGTAGCTTAAGAACCAGAGTTTTTAACACTACAAAGAAAGTTCATCCACAGATCTACGTCTGAGAGACTCACCTACTGTGCAGACCTGTTAGACCCTTTGTATCATGCTGTCAACTTGTGAAACAAACAACCAAGCTGAAAAAAAACCCCCACAGTTCTTTATACTGACAGGACTACCCCCTGTAAACACATTCTCCATGTTACAGCTTCTTTCAGGCCAAGGTCTGTGTTTCAACTTGAGATCTATTTCTAGCTGATGCAGAATGTCAATTTTTTTAATACCTAATGGTAAGCATTGCCTCTGCCAACTTGGAACAGTACTGGTGTGAGGGATATTAATCTGAAATCCCTGTTAACTGTTTGGAAATGATGTGTTTTATGTACAGGAATGTTACAGCATTCAGGTCCCAGAAGCATCTGCCTGCCATTATGGTCATATATTTTATATAACTTTTTTTTTTTCTCCTTCTAAAGCCCTGTACTTTTTGAAGACTTGATGCATTTATGTCGGTTAATGTCTGCAAAGTATCCTTCTCTGACGAAGAGAATGTTGGCTAGAAACTACAAGATAGCAGCTACGTGGGAAAGAGGTTAGTTGCTGCTGTGGTGGAAGCATTTGGCTCTTTTCATTAGTAGAAGAGGGGTAACAAAGCTGCTAGCTTTTAAGGCTGAGGGCTTGGAGAAAATGGAACAATTCCTGGGACTGAGTGATTCTGGCAGTTTTAAACAGTGCTGTAAGCATGGGCAGCCTTGGAGCATGGCAGGACACTTGCCCTGAGGAGGTTATTAGGGTGTTGGACTATATTGACAAGATGGTGGGAGAACCAGAACCAGTGTCTTGGAGCTGGTTGTTCATCTTTTTGTGTCCATAAGCTGTACTAAGTATGTGTAGTTAAGAAACTAACACCAGCAATTAACCTTGGTGTTTTAGAATGAGAACCTACTGCTGAGCTACTATTCAAGATAATTTTGGGGGTGTGGGGAAGAGAGTGAGCCTTGCAGAACAACAGCTTCTGGCATGCTGCTGCTCAGAAGGAAGCATAGATCTTTCCCAAGTCTTATTTTGTCAGTGTTTGAATGTAGCCTAATTTCCCTCTCCAGAATCCATTCTCCTTCAGGTCCGTGGCCTGAATGGAATGCTTATGAACTCTGTGGCCCCAATACCACCAGTAGCCTCCAAGGAGGAGATACTGGCCACTGAAGAACACGTTCTGGAGACCTTCTATCCCATCTCTCCTACCATTGATCTTCAGGAAGTGAATGTGTACAAAGAGCTCAACGACATGGGTAAATCTGGCCGTCGACAATGATTTTGGGTCAGAGTAAGCATGCAGGTTAAGCTAGTGTCCTTGTCCTTTTGTGTGACAGCTGTGGGCAGGGAGTGTATGGGAATGAGGGGATGGAGGAGCCAGGCACAGGGTGTGCAGTGCAAGACCTGTGGGGAATATGTTGTGGCCTAAGGAGAACTGTAGAGAAGAACTTGAATCCCAGCAAATTACTTAAACAGTTCTGGAAGGTGTGGGAGAAAGTTTGGCTGCGTACTCTCTTGCTGAGCAGTTTCTGACATGATTATCTGCCATTTAGGTTTCAGAGATGGTTATCCATACTCTCATCCTCACACTCTGTTCTTCCTGGAGTCGGCCAACATCCGTCCCGACAGGTTCAGACCAGAGCAGCTTCGTGCCAAAATGCTGATGTTTGCTTTTGGCAACGCGCTGGCCAAGGCGAAGGTGCTCTACGGGGTACGTCCTGCAGACTGCTGCTGACCTGCTGGGCCTTTGCCCCTTCCCTGGGGCTGCAGCTAGTGGGAAGAGTCCTGCAATTCCCCTGCTGTGGCGTGTTACAGTAGTTTTCAGATCTGAGCTTCCCAGTCCAGAGGTCTAACTCATAACCTTCAGGTGTGGTTCCTGATGTCTGCTGCTCCAAAAACCCGTCGCTCCATGAGGAGCATGCTTGTGGTGTAACTCACATGGGAGTGGTAATGGGTAGGAACCAGGGAATAAGTTCAGCTGTAAAACTCTTAACACATCATCCCACAGCTCAGTATGGAAATTGATACTTTGTTGCTGGATGAAGGAGGAATTTTAATTAAAATACAAAATCTACATTCGAAACTTGTTTGACTAGAGTAATTTTCTGGGCAAGGTAACAATACATTTATTAAAATCTTGGCTTTAAGCCAAGTAGAAGATGCAGAATCAGCAAGTACTCGTACAACTTCTGTAGTGACTGGCTTTTTAAACATTCTTCTCCCCCTCTCTTCTTTCTTAGAACGATCCCAAGGTTTTGGAGCAGCCAATAGTGGTGCAAAGCGTTGGCACAGATGGCCAGCTCTTCCAGTTCATGGTGTTCCAGTTAAATACAACAGACCTTGTCTCCAGCGATGGCATAAAAAATCTAGTTTGGATTGACTCTGATCAGAATCTGTATGAAAAAGCCCAGTGTGTTCCAGAAATCAAGAAGAGGGTCGTTACGGTGAGCAGAACCTGGGAAATGGTCTTGGAAGTCCTACCTTTCCACCTCTGCTGGAGGTCTGGGTGCTGCTGCAGGGCGGGCTTTAAACCAGCTGAAGGGACCAGACTGAGGTGCTGGCCTTGCTCCTCCTTAAGCAGGTGTGAGTGGCAGGCAGCTGTTGGCCCTGGGCATGCTATGAGGGTGTCTGGGTTTGATGGGCAGAGGGATTTTGCCATCTGAGATTGGTACCAGTGGAAGAACCCACAGACAAACCCACCTGGGGAGGGAGGGCACGATTTGGAAGCTACCACATCTGAAGCCTTATTCAGGCGCATTTAAAGCCGTTGTTTGTCTCCATTAATCACTTCACTGCAAACTGAGCATCCATGTCTCTGTCTCTGCAGAAGCCCGCTGGAATATATGGCTTTCAGCCAGACACATTCAAGAAGTTTCTGGCACTGTATCTGCATGGAACTGTGTGAAATTCAGCTCAAATGAACATACTTCACCAACTGTACCTGCTGCTTCTCTTTGCCAGAACCGTCACATAATTAAAGAAAGGTGGATTAATTTACTGGATTAAAAAATAAATTATATTGTTACTGAAAGTAAAAAAAAATTTTTAAACTGAATTGTGCACGAAGAAGCCCTTTCATTTGAGGGGCTCGCCTCAGGATTTGAGTGAGAGTCATCAAATGCATCCTCCTGCACTCTTCCACCTTAGAAAGAACATAAGCCAGCCATTATTCCTCTGCACAGGTTCTGCTCTCGGTGTGCTTTTGCACAGAGCTAGGCTTGAACCTATTTTCTGAGGCTGCTTTGAGCCCCTCTGAATGCAAAGCTTCAAGGGGGCAGCCTGAGACACGAGCCTCTTTCATTCTACCTGGCTTTTGCTTTGTTTTACTCCTGGCTGCTTTGGGCTGCGTCGTGCTGCCCTGCGCTTAGTTCCCGAAGCACTTAATCGGTGAGATTGCTTTGTTGGGATCTATAGAACCACGTTCCTTTTATCCCCAGATCCTGGATGAAGAGACCTATCCATTTTGGGAAAGTGGTGTAGAATGTAGTGTGAAACTTTGGGTGGCTGGTATTTGCTGCTAAAAATACAAAGGAAGAATTTCTTCCTGCCACACAGAGTTAACTGAGCAGGAAGCGTATTCTTTTTAAGATGGGGGGATTAGCGTGGGTTTTGTCAAATGAAAGCTAAATTAGCTCCAGCCAAATGTAGAATGTTTTGCAGTTCTGCACCACTACCCTCCAGCACATGGGAAGGAATAGGACAGCCTGTGCTATTTTAAGGTGTGGGAGAGAGAGCATGTTTCCAAGAAATTCATCTCGCTTCAGTGTCTTGTGTCAGAGGCTGGTCTGTGCTTTGTGATCTTCTCTGGCCATCTGGATGAGCGCCCCGGTTGTGCGTGCCAGTCTCAATCCATCAGGCACCCCTATTCTGCAGGTTTCAGAAAAAAACAGGTTTTTCACTAGTCAAATCTGAGATCAGTGGTTGCACACAGTAAATTGGGATGCATCGGCTGTAAGTTAAAATAACAAATCCCTCAATAGTTAGGAGAAAAGGCTGGGAAGCGAGGTGATCTGGTAAGCACTGCATTGATCTAAATCACATTCATTCTGCCTGCTCAAGGCATGCCTAATTCAGTTCAACACAAATCTCCTCAGTTCTGTAATTTGCACCCAATTATTTAGGAATATATTTTAATACCCTTGTGCTCTGTGGAGACTGTTCAGTAGGTGTTTCTTGGGCTGTTGTCCCTCTGCTGTGTTGCAACAGCCCTCAGACTATTCACATTCCCTCACCCTTCCAGCCTTGGGTCATTACTGGTCTTCAGGAGGAAACCCCGGAGGGCAGTGAGCCAGGAGCCACGTGTTAACATTCCTGAGCAGAGTGGTTTCACTGAGAAGCCTTGTAAGAGAGTGGTTGAGGTGGAGGGGGGGATGTGGAGAAATGAAGCACCTTGAATGCTTCTAGTAGATGTGGGAATCTGTGAAGGTGGTCTACATGGGAAGAGCCAAAACTCCTTTAGGTGCTTTTACCTCTCAACAAAGACATCTCTATTAGGCAGTAGAAGAGGAGAAACTAAGTGAAGCTGGAGCCCTGCTGGCTCCAAGACTGAGCAGAGACAAAGCATGAGCACAAGGAGAGATGGACGAGCAAAGGCAGCTTTGAAAAAGGGCAGAAGCAATAAGAGATGGGACAGTCAGCAGGGCAATGAGGCTTCAGCAGGTTACAAGAGGCATCAGAAAGCCACTTGAGATGAGGTGACTGTACCTGCAGGGCCAGGAGGGGAGCTCCAGCGGCGTGGAGCAGTGTTCCCCACTTGGCTCCTGGGCTGGATGCTCGGGTTGGTCTCGTGGTGCAGGTATGAGGTCTGTGAGCCAGGCAGAGCAGCCCCACCACCACCCACAGCCCTGCACCCATGTGTGGTGTCCCCCAGGTCTTCACAAGCACGCTGCCCTTGGCTCAGTTCACCCTCTGGCTCCTCCAGTGTCACCTGCTGAGCTGGCCCAGCCCAGGGGGGTGGGACCACGAGTAGGACGATGGGTCAGGGAGGCACATCTGGGTTGGCATCAATAAGTTATAAAGGCTCGTCCACAGATGACTGGCATTACCTCAGCACAGCCCCAGAGCCAGGCATTAACTTTTAATGAGCAGCAGCCAGGGAGGCAGAACATGTGAGAATGGGGTGGCTGGAGTCCCAGGCGAAGACCAGGCAGTGCCTGGCTGCCTGGAGGAGACCTCAGCAGCCACAGGAGCAGCATCTGGCCCCAGCCTGCCCTGGGGGTGATGCACACAGCGTGCTGTCTGGGCTCCTCTGCTCCGTGCTGCCTTCCCTGCACCACTCCTGGTTCAAATCCTGACTCCACAGGCTGCACTCGTGTGCCAGCAAGTACACACCGTGCTCAGACTGGAGCCCCTCGTCGTTCAGATCCTCCTCCCACAGGTAATTTAATGAAAACTAACAGAGGAGACAATTATCCCTAAGGTAGGGCTCAGGAGACATTTAGAGGAGAGAACTTGGCAGTTTCTTATGGTGATGTTTAATAAAATTAGCCTGTAACCTGGTATGAACTATTGTGAAGGGCTTTTCTACACCCCAAAATAAAACCATGCCAGGCAGCAATGCTGCCTGTTGCTCCGTGCAGCTGAGCAAGGCCTGGATGGGCCTGTGACCACCCATCAAAAGACCTAAAAAGCCCAAATCTCACCCCATGGGCTGCAGCAGCCTCTGGTGCTGCTGCTTGGGGAGCGAGGTCAGCCTTGCCTGGGTTTCTCCAGCACCAGCGGCTTCCTCAGTGTGGAGCAAGGTTTGATCCTGCATCAGTCAGTGCACACACCTGCCCTGCACCACAGCCAGCCCTTGCTGGAGGAGAGGGTCAGGAGGCCCCATTGCAAGCCTGTGTATGTGGATATATAGATATATAGGGAGAGTTATGAAGGTGACAGTCACACCTCTTCCCCTCCTTTGCTCACCTCCCAGCAGTGCAGGACTCCAGCAACTCCAGCTCCTCTCCCTGGATATCCCTCATCTGTGATTCCAGCCTCCATCTTCATGCCAGGGTATCAGCTCCTCCAGCCTCTAATGGAGAATCCTGGGGGACAGGGTGCACAAACTCCCACCCCTCTTTTTAACCCCACAAAGCCCCTCTCTGCCTGAAGCCTGGCAGGCTGGGTGTAAGGAAGACGAAGGTCCAGCAAGTACATCCTCACCTGGTGCAAACAAGAATGACCATATTCCTAGGCTAAAAGCCAAAATTTCAAAACGTTTAAAAAAAAAGTTAAGCTAAAACCCAAGGGAGCATCATTAAAGCAAACCTCTCCCAGCTCCCTGGATCCTGCAGCACAGCCAAATCCCCATCCACCTTTCCAGAACGCACCACCCCACCCCCGCCCAGCTCTGCGTCACCTCCCCACCCACATCCCAAACCTGGGGTTTGGTCCTTGATAAATAAAGGTCAAGAAAAAAAATACTCTACCTTGGGTTTGGCAGCAAACACCAGGAACAAACCGCAGAGCACGGAAATCAAATGTTTAAAATGTTGATATTTATTACAGCATGGGGGGGAGGGGGGAGAAGAGGGGAGAACCGTTTCATTCAAAAAACCATCCCATACCAATGAAGACAATAATTTAGCAATTCATTTTAAAATACATTAAAACCGGTCCTTTCATTTCCTTACATCAGAAAACAAAAAAAAACCAAAAAGAAAAAAAACCCCAAACCCAAACAAGATGTAAAGCAGAAAAGGGGAAAAAAATGACCCCTTAGGGTGCCCTGGGGTGTAATCGTGATGCAACAAATGTGCATTGTTATTTCTGTGTTACTTGGAAAATATTAACCTGACTGTAACTATGAGACTGACACTCTCAGACTCCCCCCCCAGTCCCACCCACCTGTCCCTCCCCAGCAACTTTCTACAGGTAAAGCACAATTAAAATGCCTAGGAAAAAGAAGGCAAACATTTAAAAAAAATAATACGTATTACACGCTAAAAAAAAAAAAAAAAAGAAACATTTTGTCATCTCATGTCTTGCAGTCAGAATAATAAAAACAAGCCAAATGTTCCCCAAAAACATTTCAATGAAGGGGTGCGGAAAAAAGACATCCCTTTAATAAAACATTATCAACAAATATCGTACACAAACTACAATGTATAATTATTAATTCTTTTTTTTTTTCTTTTTTTTTTTTCCCCTCTCGGTCATTTTCGAACCAGGCTACAAGGTAAGAAAAAACACTGAAACAAGATACAATGCTTTCAATAATCCGCACAAAGGTCAAATCCAAGGGAGAGAATATTTTACAGAATGTGATATACATGGAGCAGAAATGGGAGCTGGAGAAAAACAAAGACCAACCTACAAGGTAGTGTCATGTACAGAGATCCCAACCCGCCGCCTTGGCTCGTCCCTTCCTTTCCCACCAGAAGGAAGGGCCTTCGATGCTTGCCATGAATTTTTATTTTTGTATTACAGAGCGAGCCTACAGAATAGCAAGGTTACATTTTAACAACAAGAATTCCTTAAAAAATATCTCCATCCAGTTCCAAATCATAGGTCAGTGAAACCCTGACAAGAGCACATCTCTAAAGAAAAGAACCCCCCCAAAAAATACCCCCAAGGCAAATAACCCCCTCCCCCCCCCCAAAAAAAATCCCAAAGTTAGCTGGAGATCACCGTTTCAAAGTCCCAGGTCAGATTAACCCTTTCTTTTGGTGGATTTAAAGAAAAAATGAAATTAAAAAATCAATTTTTGCAGTGAACCAGCTGAAGGACTCTGAGGAAGGGAGGGACAGAGATTTCTTCTTGTACTCAGAGAGGGGAGGAAAGACTAACACAGTGCATGCCACAGTCACAGAGAGCAAGATCACGATTCATTCGAGGATGTGATCCTAGAAGGGGTCACCTGCATTAACAAGTTTATAACGAGGTGGTGGAGTCTCTTCCCCAAAGCAGATCTTGTTAACTGGAGGAGGAAGCGTTGTGCTGCAAACGAATTAAAACCAAAACAACCCCAAAACCAAAACTAGAAGGGAAAAAAAAAGAAAAAACCCACCCAAACAAAACAGCCCAAAACAAAACCAAAAACAGGCCTTCTGAACGAAAACCACCATTGTAAACTGTCCAGTTTATTTAAAAAAATGACTACAACAGAGACAACATGAGATTTCATATCTAGACTAGCTTCCTGGTGTCGCACGGCACAAACATACAACAGGTTCGGTTTCTGTCTTTATTTAAAAGAACAAAGCAAAGAGATCGGAGTTGAGTGCTAGAGGCTTCCGTTTGTTTCCAAAAAGAAGTGTCATGTACATATATAAACCCTTCTGCACAAAGAAGGGTCTTGTCATGTCTTGAAATATTTTAAGTTTTGTCCTTCATGTTTTATGGAATAAAAAGTTCAGCCTTTTTATTGCATGAAACTAAACCTGGGGTTTTGGCCCCCGCCACGCGTCTCCCTGCCCATACACCTAGCTTCTTCTTCTTCTTCTTCTTGCATAATTCGTTGAGATCCTCCGAACGGCAGCTGACTCTCTTGATCCTGGAGAGGAGGAGGGGGAGGGAAATCACACACTCATCGTCATGCTGGGGGAATACTGGAAGAGAGACAGAGCCAGGGTGAGAAACCAGGCAGGCCAGACCTCCAGACACCCAAGGGGGATGGCAAAAGGAGGCTGGTGACAACTGTACAGCAACTTAGTTGGATCTAGTGGATCAGGAGGAGAGGATATGCTGCAGACTCAGATTTATCAGGCTGTGATCTGCTCTGTAACTTGCTTTTCCAGGGAGAAAATCAGCAGAACAGTACGGGGTGAGGTGCAGTTTAAAACAAGTAATTAAGATGTACGCGTGTGTGTGCTGCTAACAGAGGAAGAGGAGGGATGTCTGCAGCTTGAATCAGCCACATCCACACTGGCTCCTCTGCACCCTCTCACTCTCCTCTCTATCCCACAGGATCCTCTTCCCCCCATCCCACTAAGCACCCAAGCTTGTACCCACCAGCAAGTTTCTTCCTCCCCACCTTCTGTCCTGGAGCGGCTCCCACACAGCACAACCCAGGCCAAACAGCACCCGCCCCCGAGCTCGCCCACCCATGCAGGACACCCCAGGAACCGTACCCCCCGTCCCCAGGGGGGCACTCACTCACATTGTCATTTTGGAAGGAATGGAGAAAGTTGCCTCCCAGCTCCCCGTCGTCTCTTGGAGTGCCCGGGGGATTGCTAATGCCACTTATGTTGTTTGGAGAATTCTGTGGGAGATGGAGGGGGAGGTGCTGAGCAGGTCCCCGTGCCCTCCCAGAATGCCGGGGGGTAGCAGGATGCAGCCCTGCCTACCCCACCGTGTCCCCCCAACATGTCCCCATCCATCGCGGGTCACATCACTGAGGTCATCCCCAGTGCTGATGAAAATGGGGGGCCCACACACCCACTCTGCCGCTCACTTACTTTTGGAAGTCCATCTATGTCTCCTGACCCTGCGCAGCGGGACAGAAAAGCAGAACAGTCTTACTGAGCACGCAGCGACGTCCCCTGCGCCCCCCTGCCCTGCTCCACCACGCACCCCCCTCTGATTCCCAGCCAAAGGCTCTGCCTCGAGCACCGGTCCAAAGCGGGGGCTGACCCCGAGATGGGAGCAGGCCCCGGGACGCCCTGTCAGCACCCCCGGGGAGCGAAGGCCTGGCGGGGCTCCCTGAGCTGCAGCCCCCCGCGTGGGTGCTCACCTAACGATCCGTTCATGTGATGGGGCTCCATGCCACCCATGCCGCCCATGGGGCCGTCAGAGCCGGGGCCCATCGGGAACTGCGGAAGAACACGGAGACAAGACCAACATCAGCCACGGATCCCACCCCACAGGTCTGCCACAGCCCCGGGGCACCAGCCCCCCCCCGGCCATCCCTCCAGAGTGGGGCAAAGGAGGGACGTGACCACCTCCCGAGGCTGCGGGCCACAGCTGGGGGCTCACAGCCCTGTGGGTTCACCGATAAAATTTGGCCCCTAGACCCACGGTGGTGCAGGGAGCTCCCTCCAACCAGAATTTAAGGAGACCCAAGTCTGCCTGTATCCCACCAACCACAGCATCTCTCCGGGCACGCTGCCACCACCTCGGCCGGAGCAGCAGGATCGCCACTCTCTTAATAAGCATAAAAAATTAGCAAAGTCACCGAAGAGTTAATCGCTTTTTGATGGTTTGTTTTACTTCTGTTTTGTAACAAATGGCTGAAATCAATTAAACTGCTTTACTCTCAACTGATGAAGTTAATTATGATTTGTTATGGTATCTGATATGTAAATTATTAGAAAGCAGACTTACATTCGATCGACTGCCTGCGGGCGGTACTGGATTAATCATTGTGTAGATGTTGTCACTTGAATTTGTTGAATCTGTAGAACAGGGAAGCCCAGTAAGTCGGGTGATTAATTCATTTCTTAATTAAAACAAACTCATGCCACTTGAACTCATTCTTTTGTATTTTATCACCTAAAATTCCCTCTAAGTACCACCATTTGCTGGCTAATTTTTATTTAATGAAGATCCACAAAGTTTTTAATCACAGAAATTCAACTGTGAAAAATAATTCGACTCCTGACTGGGAAGCGCAGGGAGGTAGTTCCCACACCCCTCACATCCCCGAGCCCCACAGCATCCAAAGCCATTAGGGGGGATACAGGAACACCCCCAAAGGCCATCCCCAATCCAAGGAGCCCATGCCACTCACTCCCTGGCAAGGCAAAAGCTGCAGTTGGGCAGGGGCTGCCTGTGCTGGGCGGCACAGCCCCAGCGATGGAGGTTGTCTCCTGGCAGAGGGAAGCACAGGAGCCTAGGAGGACTGGCCCTGGAGAGGGGGTTTCTCGGGGGGCTCGTACCTGCGGGACTGGGCATGATGGGTGTCCCCGGAGGACCGCCGCCGCCGGGCGGGCCCTGTGGAAAGACAAAGCACAGGTCAGCTGCATGAAGAGGAGCATCACTCACCTCCCACACCTTTTCAAACGCCTCCCCCAGCTAGGCCTTGCACCCTCAAACCCACTCTGGTCCCCTCCATGGCACCCACTACCCCCCCAAAACCGCCTGAGCTCCCTGAGCCGTAACATCTCTGCACCCTCAGCAGGACAGATGGAGGAGGAGGACTCACCACGTATGTACCAGGCGATGAAGAAGAGTATGGGATCTATAGAGAGAAAAGAGCCAGGTTCACCCATAGGGTCTGTTGAGGGTTCCATGGGCTAGGTCCCCACATCTGAAAGCCCCCACTGCCTCCCCCTGCCCCTGGATGGGGTCCCAGGGCCCACCAGCCCACCAGCAGCTGCACCCCACCACAGGGCGAGCGGCGCAGGAGCAGGGCGCAGGCTTTAGATGCAGCACCCAAAGAAGAGGCTGGGGAACCCCCTCTCGTTAGCAGCGTTCAGCTAACAAGCCACGGCCTCAACTGCAGGACAGTGCCCGACCAGCCCCACGGGGTACTCACTGAGTTAGCACTGCTGGGGTTCGGCCACGGTCTGCCAGCTCCTGGCCCCCTGGGGTGGAAATTAAACAGGAAAAGAAAGAAACGTTGTGGTTTTATCTGCGTGGTCCCGCAAAGCCCAAGTCAGTGGCCAAACATGCCCGGCCTGGGGTTTGCCTTACATGTTAATTCCAGGCATGCCAGGACCTAGGGAGTTGGGTGGAGGTCTCATGCCGCTGCCGTAGTTCTGCAACGAGAACCAAAGGTCAGTCGACCAGAACAGGGAGGGAAAGCAAAGACAAGGGGGAAAAAAAAACCCTTCAAAATACTAAGAGGGTTAGTTTGCAAAAAGGAGCTTAAAAAATAAATGAACGAGATGATGGGGATGGTAGAGGCAATCAGCAATGATGTTTATAAAAAAGTGGGCAGGGAGCCAGGCTGAGCCCCAGAGTGCCCCCTGCTCTCTGATGCTGCACTGGAGAAGGGAAAACAGCCCCCTCCCAGCTCTGGGAGACAAATCTGTCCACAGCCCCCTGGCACCAACAACAGCCTTCTGGGCTTGTCTTTCTGTGCAGGAGAAAGCAGTGGCAGGAGGAGGAAAGGCAGCATTGCTGGGAAGGCTATTGCTGCAGCGGAAGGATGGGAAAAGGCTGCACGAGCTCCCCCGGAGATGGAGCAGCAGCCCCTGATCCCAGGACGACAGCTGGAGCAGGAAAATCCAAGCCAGGCTTGTTTTCCCATTGCTTCCCAGCTCTCTGCCACATCCCCAGAGTGGGTCTGCAGCTGCAGGGAGCAGCGGAGGGCAGGCAGCCCCTCGGGGCTCCTCTCCTGGCTTATTCCACTCAGGCTTAGCCTGCAGCTGGGACCAGGAGCCTCAGATCTGCCTCCCTCGTCTCCTAAACCCATCTTTAGTACAAAGCCAAGCCTTAGGCAGGGATAGAAGAGGAATCCCCCAGTGCTGTGCTCCATTTGGTCTGTGCTTTGCTCCCTGTGCCCTCCGGGTGACGTACAGCCGGATTTAGGTCGCGCTGCTGCTACTCCCCTCCCACCTTCCACCCCATGATACATCTTTTTTGGGCTCTATTTCCGCTGTTTAGAGAAAAAAAAACTGCTAAAGCAGGAGAGGGGACAGCTGTCCACTTCCTATTTCGCAGCCTCTCGGAGCGCTTCAAGCTGGATTTTAAGTGCAACTCTTCAGTGCTGTCAATTTTTTCCCTGGATTTATGGAGGCACCACGCTCTGCTGAGGGCATAGCCAAAGTTTGTTTTGAAGAGGCAGAAAAGGGTTTTCCCTAAACAAATTACCCACAAGTCCTTAATTGATTGAAATTCCAGCCATTTACACTGAATAGCAGCATCAAACCCCTTGTTGGGAGGAAAAAAAAAAAAAGGAAAAAAAAAAAAGCTCAGCGTTTTTAATTGGAGCTGAAAGGCTGGAAAACGAAGCCATCCAAAAGATGCTCAGGGAGGGTGGGGAGGGAATGCAGCTGTGCTGAGTGACCTGGATGCTGGGCTCTGGCAAGATGCTGCCGAAACCTGAGGAGCTACAAACCCTCTTCAGAGAGGAGCTGGAGAACCCAGTCCTGGTCTCTGCAAAGCTAAAACTGCGACTATTACAGGAAAAAAGGCAGCGTTGATCGGCTGCAAGGGATGATTCATCACTGCTGCGTAATAAGCAGCCATTGACAGGACGCTGGGACGTCCTGGCTGGATGCTCTGCAGCCCTTTGGAATTATAGAAGGATTATTTGGGAAGGTCCTGATGCAAAGCTTAAAGGAAAAAAAAAAAAAAAACCAAGCCCCAGGCACGGAAGGTGCGAGGGGCTGGCGGGTTGGGTTTGCTATTTTTGGCAGCTGGCTGCGGGGAGGCAGAGCCCAGCGGGTGCCAGATTGGGAAGCCCAGCGCTTCTCCAGGCAAAGGCTGCCTCTCTAAAAAAACCTTCTCCCTAATGTACGTACACAGGGACTGGTGGAGTCAAAAATAAAGCTCTGAACATTTGACAGCTCCCGCCGGCTCCCGGAGCCACTGCCATCCCACGCGGCGCCGAGCGCGCTCACGGCTTCCAAGTTTCACGGGGAGCTTTGGAAGTGGGAGGGGAGAAGCAGGCGAGCGTCTTCCCCCAGGCAAACGCCTGCCGCTCGCCCTGGCGCAGGCCACGCTACCAAGGGACTTTTTTGTTTTTTTTTTTCTTTCTTTTTTGGGTGCTATCCTCCTGGAAAGGAGGATGTTTGAGCGGAGAAGTGGCGCTGAACGATGCTCGCGCAGGGTTTTTTTTTACCCCCTGCCCTGGGATGGATCCGGGTGCCTGCGGAGAGGGCCGGACATCCCTGAGCAGCATCCTCAGGCTGGTGTTGAAAAGAGATGACACAACTCCCTCTTTACACAATATTCACTTATTTCAACAGTGTCTGGGGAAGGAGAAAAAACCACAAAACAAAACTCCAGCGCGCCCGCTCGTCTCTTGACAGACTCTGATCCTCGCGCTACAAACTCGACGTAGGCGACGATGCAGAGAGGATAAACCTCCAACCAAAACACGGTGATCTGGTTTTGAAGTCTCATAGAGGGAGCAAACAGGAGTGAGTCAACAACAAGCCACTCCGTGAAGTCAATCAACGGCACGCCGGCATATATTAACCCAGATCTGTGAAATTTCAGGAGCTGACTCCCCTTTCCTGAAACGGAGAGCTCAAGCAGGCAGCAGGAAGGGCAGGCAGAGGGGAACCTCGCAGGGGAAAGCCTTATTCCCCTGCTAAAGGGATCTTTGCTGTTTCTTTTTATTTATTTATTTTTAATGCAAGCCTCCTTTCCCTTTCCTGTTGTTAGGGTCGTAACTATCTCCCAGGCTGGCAGCGTAATGCACTCAGAGGCTGCTAAGTGCCATCCCCTTTGACGGAAGGGGCAGCAGGGAGGTTGCAATACCCTTAATGAGCAATGAAGACTTCACTCATGTTAAAAGGAGGGATTTCCAGATGCAAGGCTAATGTAAAACGCATTAACACTAATGGGGGGATAGGGTGTGGGTGGGAAACTCCCAGCCCTTTGAGCCCCAGGAGGTTGTTTCGATGGTGCTTGGCGCTTGCCGAGCCCTGAGATGCTCTTTGGTGCCAGGCTTACCTGTGGACCAGGACCCATGGGGCCCATCCCTCGTGGAGGATTCATCCTTTGCATGGGACCGCCCATGTTAGGGTGCCCTGGTGGGAGGAAAGCAGGGGCGTTACAGCACAGCAGCCATTTTGGGTCCCAAATGAACAGCTAAAGAGGAACATTCACATCCGACCCTCCTCCACCAGGCTAACCTTGCTGTCGCGTGGGATCCATGGAATTGGGCAGCAATGGCTGTGTACCGGGAACGGCGCCCGGGGGCTGTGAACACAAGGGGAGGAAGGTGAAAAGAAATAATACTTGCTATAACGCAGCAAACAGAGAGGCTTGAGGCTTTAGGGGGGCTCCTCAGTGAGCTCTCCAGGTTACACCACCACTCCTGCCACAGCACAACCCGACGGCTGCCCGAGCATCATCCCCTTGCATCCCGGCCACCTTCCCACAGCCTCCAGGTGTTTGCCTCCCCTTCCCTTTCTGAACACCCCCTAAACACCAAACAAGGCACCAGCATTTCCTCCTCTGCCAGGGCCAAACCATACAGGCTGCAGCGACTCAGGGGCTGCCAGCAGGGAGATGCTCCAATTGCAGCAGACCAGCGTTCGGACCCGTCCCCATGCAGGCAGGGGGAAAAGCAGATGCTCCCCCTCCCCAAACCCATGCTCTGCTCAGGCAACACAGCTATTTAAAGTTCAAAAGCTGTTCTGAACAGATAAAGGGGTAGAAAAATGCAGATACCATCTGCCTGAGGGTAGCAAACTGTAAACAGTTTTGCTACAGTGCTGCCTTTTATTTGACTGCCGACACAGACAGATCCCACTGCTGGAGCACAGCGCAGGCACTGGGTGCACATGGCTGTGGAGGCAGAATCTGCCCAATCCCAATTTTTTGGCAGCCTGGAAGCAGGCAGGAGAAGGAAGATAAACCAGGAGGGTTGTAAAGATGGATATTTACACTTCTGCTGCCTGACCTTCCTGCCTATTTATTCCTCTTGTCCCTCTGGACATAACCATAACCTCTCTGAGCTCTGAGTGTAGGTTCAAACCTGTGTTTTATACGTGGCGTTTGGGGAGGAAAAAAAGTAGAAATCTTTCTGATTAACTTTTCCCACTCCTGGATGCTTGACCCTGCTGCAAGAGCAGCCTCCCCAGACTGGTCCCCTGCCTCTCCTGCCTGCCCCAGGTCACCCTGTTCACCTCCAATGGAGCTCAGGACAAGCCCAGGACCACAGCAGGACAGGGACCCACCAAAAGTGTCCCGTGAGGAGGTGCTGTTAATTAATACCTTGCTAAACCAGCCACCAGTGCCTTGAGTGGGAGGCTCTTCCAGCTTAGCTGGGCTTGGGGGTCCTACATCAGCCTCCACTGAGTTCTTCCCAGCTCTCTCACCATCGTTTTGCAAGTTCCAGCGATTCAGGTCTCAAACCCAGTAAGCACAAACACAAACCAAGCTGCTCCATCATCCCATTTCCTGACCATCCTGCTCTTTCCGCTAACAAGAGCTGTATAAAAATACCATCCTTAGCCAAAAATACAAGCTCCCAAGACAATTTTTGCACAGTCACCTTTGCTGCTCAAAGGAATTACAGGTTTCCTTTAATGACAAGCAACCTCTGGCTCGGTCGTCGCCCTGTGGATCTGCACGACCTCGTGAGGAGCGAGGTGAATCCCCCAAGCAAGGGCCACGCATGCAGGCAGCCCGTGGGGTGGAAGCCTCCATCCGGAAGGCCAGAAACAAACTGCCCTTGTTTAAGCTGGGATAAGAGGATAAACCCAACCCCAAAAATTCAGCAGTGACCTGCCCCGCTTGACCCCGCCGCTGATCTAAGCGCTCGGTCAACCCAGCGGCGGGATTATCTCCATCACTGTAATTTTCTGTGATTGCAGGGAAAATCCACCCGGGCAGCGAGCCCATGCTGAAAACACCACCAACAAAAACCAGCACGTTCCTCAACTGCCATTTACACCCCGGCTATGCCCAAACTTCAAATTAAAATGAAACCAAACCGTTTCTGTGACACCTGAATGCTCCAGCACCGAGGGAAGGGAGGATGCTCAGGGAGGACGCTTGCCACCCAGACCCAAGAACCACGTGTGGGACACGTGTCCCTCATCCCCCCCTCCACCCAAAAAAAACCCTCCAGTGAGGAGCCCGGGAGTGCAGTACCTGGTTGCCCATCCTGATGGGGGGCCGGGGACCTCCGGCGTAGCGTGGCGACATGAACGGCTGCGGGGACACAAAAGGGAGGTGAGGGGAGAGCTGGGGGGGGCTGCACGCTCCCCACGCACGCCGGCTAGACTGTACACACTCTGCCTTTATTTTTCTGGAGACATCCTTTTTAAAAAATGTTAAGTTTCAAAAGGGAAAAAAATAAAAAAAAAGAAAAAAAAAAAAAAGGAAAAAGAAAAAGGTGTCCGGAGTCCATTTTTTTTTTAAACATTTTCTTTGTAGATTTATTGTTCTGAGAGCATTTGACATCGGCAATACTAGGTGAGGCTGTTAAAATTAGTGCATGGGAAATCCTGAGTGTTAGATACTGCTTGAGTTTAAATATATAGAGAGATATTAAAAAAAAGTGGCAAATAAGCACATACAGACACGCACACACAAAAAAAACCCCAATGCTAAGTACTGAAAAAAAAAAAAGAAGAAAGACTTAAAGTTACTTTTTTTTGTTTTTACAACTGCTGCTGCTACTAACAGAAGCTTAAAAGCCCACATCAAGTTAAATTTCTCAGGCTACCTTGGGCAGGTAAAACAGTCTGATACCCACGATTGACGTCTCAGTCCATTGACAACTGCACATCCCAAAAAAAAAAAAAAAAAGAAAAAAGAAAAAAAAAAATGGGAAAAAACCCAACAGTTTGCCTCAAGGCTGGGGTACCCGGGGGGATGCTCCCCGGGGCAGCAGGTACCCGCTGCCCAGCGTGCTTCTAGAGGGAAAAAAAGGCAAAAAAAAACCAAAAAAAGGCAAAAAAGCAGCAAATCGAGCGCACGTCCCGGTTCACAGCCCTACCCATCGCTAGTGTCTTTACCTGACTGTGGGGTCCCATCATGCTGTTAGGATTGTGGGGTGGAGGCTGTGCGTGTGGCGAGGGCTGTGACCCAGGCGGTCCCTGTGAGGTCAGACAGTAGAAGGAGGTTATAGATTAGCACATGAAAGCGCAGAAAGAGCTAAAAAAAGGATTGACGGGCGGACCCGTTTCGTTGGGAATTCAGTTGTCCCGTGTTTTAAATCAGTTTTGTTTTCACTTTTCCTCTTTTTAACTGAGTTTCTGTTCGTTTGGAGCTGAACGATGAATAATGATATATGCCAAAAAAAAAAAAAAAAAAAAAAAGGAAAAAATATTAAAAATCGGAAAATCTGTAAAAAAAATCGGAACATCTGTCAAAATACAGCGGCCACATGGATGGTCAAGGGTCCGGTCGTTCAACCGAGTCTGGAATGATAAACACACAGGGCAACACTTTGCAAGGAGGAAGAAAAAACACGCAGGAGAGGACCAGGGAGGTTGGGGGGAACACAAAAAACCACCCTCCAACCAAAAAAAAAAATCATCGTTTTTTTCCTCTCTCACATCCCAGAGGCTGGAAACAGCTCCAGGGGGGTGTTTTTTTGGGGGGGGTTTTTGTTTAGTATTTGACCGTGGTTTGCTGGAGGTGCTGGAGGGAGCGCAGAGGACAAGGAGCACGTCCCAGCTCCCACCCGTTTTGGGTGGCACAGCCAGGGCTGCAACATCCTTCCTCGAGGTGGATTCCCTAAGGGTGCGGGTAAAATGGCCTGCGAGCAAAGAAAGGATGTCTAGGGGAAAAAAGGAGAGATTAGTCGGTGCAGGTTTAAGGCTGCAATGCAGCAGTCGGTGACATTTTGGGCTTCAACGCCCACTTTTTTTTTTTTAATGCTTTTTAATTTCCCTTAAAAGCCCGAAATGAAAATTCGCTTGGAAAAAACGGCGAGCTCAGTGCAAGAATATACCGGTGCGTGTGAACGTAAGGAGAAAGAGAAAAAAAAAAGTCTTTTTTGAGTCCAGGGGAGGTGTAATTGGTAGG